TTTTTGAATGCTGCTTTCCATTTAAGAACACTGGACTTATTTTATACAACGAATCAGTAATATAATCTGTACCTGTTTCTCCTCTGATTTTCAGTAACCACTGAAACACTGAATACTTTTACAAAAAGAAGATGCTAATCATCAACAGCTTTGTTTTCCAAGTAGCAAATGACAAGTCTCAACAGAACTTCATCCAAATCTGTTGAAATACTGAGTTGGTAAAGATCTGTTTGCTCTCAAGAAAAAATTATCTATCTGCTAAGAGAACATTAACAGTGTTTTAGCATTTTTGTTAATTCAGTGCTTGTCAGAAATATCACAAAGTCAACAAACACAAATCAGGTACAGCACAAGCAACAGTAATGTGGGGCTCTGCATCTCAGAGCATGAGCAGGTGTTATTTATCTGCCTTTGAGCTGTTCTTTTTGTTCGCTCCTTATTTTTACAGAACAAGTTCCCAGATTTTCTGGAAAGTCACTATAGCTGTAGTGTTAATAGTTTAATAGTTAATTAAACTATTAAATCAGATTTTGCCTATATCACCAGTTACTGTAGGCTTAGTTTTTGATCAGATAAGCTACCTGAAAAGTAGATAAACATTTGGTGTGAGCGAGGGAAGGGGACTGTGTTGGGCACAGACCTAGGAATGCAGCATTCACAACCGGCCTGAGCTTTCCTGGTGCTCTTAGCGGTGCCTGATAAGATGTAACACATCACTGGGTTTTGGGCCGAACTGTATCCATGTGTGAACATACAGGCATTATAGTATTTGTTCAAACTTCGTCATGACTTAAGAAAGTACATTATTTTACTCACCTTTATTACCTTATTTAATGCGGCTAATCCCACCAACTTTGAATTCCAACAAAAATGTAAATAACCGAATAATGGAAGTGATTTTTTTTTATGTATGATATTAAAGAAAGTATGGCTGATGAAAGAAACCACATATGTGGTAGTCATGCTTAAGAAATAAATTGAGAAATACAGGAAAGAGGAAAAACACAAGAACTCTTAGACTAAATATATCATCTAAAAAGTGTGACATCGTCCAGAAACAGCTGGCTTGGCAGATGGCTCAGCAACAGCTTACATGTACAAAATGAAGATGTAGGAACGACCTTGGCACGTGTTTCTCAGGCTGGTGATGCTCACATATGCTAGAGGTGATTTCTTAAGCTCAACAAAAAGAGTGTTTACCTTGGTTAGTATTTTGCTTAGCATCAAACATCTCCCTTCTTAATGTATGTCATGTTGTTTGTGGCCGTCTAAGGGATTGCTTGTACATGCAGTTCTGTCAGGCATATGGCACTGGCCGATTCTCAGTAACAGTCACTACCAGTTTCTGCCTATCATTTAACAGTCAGTTGAATGTAAATCGATATGGGATGTGAACAGGTCTTTATCAATCCAGGATTTGTTAATTTACTTTGCTAGGGATACGTTCTTAGACATATTAATGGAGCAAATCCTGTTTTGCTATCAAACAGGGTTTTGGCCAGGCATTCTGGCTACTAAAAAGTAGTGGTGTGAAGCTGAAGAGCCATCATTTCTACAGTACCTGCCAACGGCTTTGTTTCTGTATCTTTTTGAGACAGCAGAAAAAAGAAATCCACTTCACTCAGCTGTAGAGCACTAATTTTTTGGAGCTCCATTTCTGAATGGGGATTTCCTTCTTTCACTTGTTTCCCCCACTCCCATTTCAGTTGCTGCCTTGCTCAGCTTCCCTGAGAAAGTCAAGAGCCACAAAGTAGTAGCTTTGCTTGCATTTTTCCAGCCCAGAATCTTCGTAGTGCAACAGGAATGGCCTTAGAGGCAGGGTGACACGAGAGGCCATTGCCTACACTAAATACCAAAGTGCCTGGGAGCCGTTCACCTCTGGCTTTGCTCATATGCAAGCCCGAATGCTTCAGTACAGTGCAATATGTGTTTAAAAGGAAAAACTTCAAGATCTAGCCCATGTTTTTAAGAACATTATCATATAATTCCCTTAAGAATCTGTATCTCTTCTAATTCTTCTTTCTCAGGAATCAAATGACTATTGTATTTCCTGGGTTGGGTGGCTCTCAGCTGTCAAGGCTTCAACCAGAGAAACAGTAGCTGCTCTTGCGTAGCTGCTCAAGAGTGTGCCTTGGGAGCTGTGCTCATCACAGGAGTCATGTCACCTGCAGGACTGTCTTTTCTCTTCCACTTCCCCAGAGTGTTATAAAAAATCAAACTGTCTAGTGTTTACAGACAGAGAGGTTTGACCTGCTTGAAGCTAGGGGAGCGATGAGTCCTAGCAAGGGTATAATCCGGTAATTACCTCTGTCAAGGTAGAAAATTTATACCAAAATGCCAAAATTTTATAATAAAATTTTTAATATGTCAGAAGCTTCTAGATAACACCTTGATAATGTCTCTCACAACAGAAAATAACCATGGAATGGTCACTTGCTTAATTGCCATAAGCTTAGAAAAGAATTCCTTGTCTAGGGCTTTGATTGACTGACGTTTTTGAGAGCATTTAACAGACTCCACTGAACTCTGGATATATCAGGTTTCAGTAACAAGTGCGATGGCAGAAGGTGAGGTGAGATTCCTATTGCTGAGCAAAGGTTTGACATTGATACGTGCTCTACCTATGTATTATTCAACAATGAGCTAATTTGCCACTGCCCTTGCTAGTTTTCATTTTTTAATTTCATTGTAAAGATCAAGCCTTTTGTCTCGCTGTGAATCTATACCTTTTGGCAATTTTGTTGAATGATAGAGGACTAGATCATCCAATTCTCAATTTGAAATCTATAAGTGTACAAAATAACTGTATGCATATTTGTTGTAAAATAATTGATCTGTAAAGAAAGATTTGCTATACAGTGTCAAAATTTCAAATGCACCTTCTGACTGCTGGGCATAATAACTTTAAATTGAAAATCCTTTTGGTAACCTATTTCAATAACAATTAAATTATTATTATTATTATTATTGTTACTGCTTTTTAAAAAATCAGTTCAAACACAATGCATGGTAAGGAAAGACATTAAATTAGCATTGGTATCATCATTATGGTTGCTTTGAAGAGCTCTGTTAGCTCCCAGGTTGTGGGAGTTCAAGACTCCTACAGTGAATAAAAATTCTTGCTTTTATGTAATACAAAACATTGCTAACAACTGAGCTTGTAAAAATGCTTCTGTGCACTTCAGTCTGTCACAAAAAGCATATAGATACATAGTTACAGCTGTATGTATAAGCTTATGCACCTTTTAATGCACCTATATGTACAATGGTGTATATATTCATACATGTGAATATAGGCTCCTTTATTTTTTAAAAGCCAGAAGCTTTTTTTCTCTTTGAACATCTCTGTGCTTGGGAAAATTTAATTCTCAATAGCAAAGAATCAAGTGAGAATCTAATGTGATTCAATTAGGTACCTATTCAAAAGCCAGGTTGTCAGAGCGCTCACTGTCCAAGTAACAAACTGGTTGCTGAACTTTGGGGGCTTCTTCCTTTTCTTTTTGGTTGTTTTTTGTTTGTTTGTTTATTTGTTTGCTTTCAAACAGCTTCTTATGGAGAGATTTACTTGAAAATATGGCAAAAATACTGAAGTGATTATTGTACTTTTTCATGCAAAAGAAAAGCCACCCTGTTAGAAGTGTCCTTCTCTGTATGTGCCCAAAACAATTTAGTAGCTAAAAGCAGGGACTTTGTATTCTAAGCCAATGGCCTGAGCAAACTTGTGACAGATGGTAAAAAGAAGTTTCCCCACCAACTCAGTGTTTTTCCAGTGTGACAGTCACATGGATTTTAAATAAATTTTGTTGTTGTTTTCAAATTGTTGGCTGGGAAGCAGCTTGGAATGTGGATACTGTACTGGATCCATCTGTGCTCTTGCTGGTGTTGTGTGTGCGTGTTTTTAACAGGATCTACAGAAGTAAGGGGGGAAAGAGAACCCGCAACCATAGCCATGTTTGCTCCCTACCCAATTTTAGTCTCTGTTGCGGGTAAGAGTAAGTTTCTGGGTCAAAACCAATGATTTCATATTGTTACACTCGGTCCATTGGTTTATTTACATCTCGTTCCATGACAACATATACTCTGGCACTCTCCCAGCCCACGTGTTGTCAGCTAATCTGTACATTAGCTGATTTGTTTGTCTAAGTACAGAATTTATTGTCACAAGACATGGTATGTTTATGTCTTTATTGGAAAATTGACTAGCTCTTTTGACTAATAATTATGAATTTCCACCTAATGAGAAATGCTGTCTTTTTTTTTTCTTCCCAGTGTTATCATTACAACAGTCTTGTACCTTTCAGATGCCCTTCGCAAAAACTTCTTAAATGAGAACTTTGATTACAAGGTAGTGTAAATGTGTCCAATGTAAGAGAAATGCAATGATAGCTGTTACATCATCCTGTGTCTTGATAGCATGTTGTTAGTCTTAGTTCCAGCATCTAGCAGCTAGAATGTAGACTTCAGCAATTCCATGTGCTCAGAATTTAAACTTTCTCATACAACATCGACTTATTTTTTTTTATTTCTTTTTATTTTTCATTTTGATATTTCAGTTAACTGTGGTGGGCTACTTACTCAGGGATTTTGTATACTAATGTTCTTGATTACAGAAAAAAATAATATTTATCTCTTATTTTGGGGATAGCTCAGAAAACAAAAATAATTGAATTTTTGACTCAACAGCAAATATGTCTTAACTATAGTTTTGCTTTATTTTGAAGTACTCTCAATTTATGTGCTGAATAAATAAAATCAGAAAATTATGACACTTCATGGTGAATGTAGTTCTATTTGTCTATTATTGAGTACCTCTTACAGGGAGGCATCTACAGCAAGTACAGAATCGGGCCTTTAGGCTTCAAATGAGAAGACCTAGGACTCACTCTGAAAATCCTTGTCACAGTGGAAGCCAGAATGGGTATTGTGCCCAACTAGAGACAGAGGCCTTAGTCCAGTGTCTTCATTTTAAAAATTGCAGATTTTCCTTTTTGGAGGAACTAGGGAGCTTCTGTTGACTTCCAGCAGAGCACTGGTTGCTCACATTCCCTGTAAAACCAGGCTGCTGTTGGAGAGATTGGGGGGCAGGGAGACTTTTCTGTCAGGCACAATTGGAAATAAGGAACCTGTGCGTTAGGAAGCTCTGCCAGCTCCGAGCCTAAAGCCGATGAAGGAATTACAAGTAGACCAAGCATCTGTGCTCTGTAAACTTGCTTAGCAAAGCAGAACTGCAGTGTTTGGGATAGGGACCCCCCTACGCTACTTTTGCCCTCCTGCACCAGTGGAGGATAAATTCAATTAATATTAACATGTATTTTTATAGATAATCTTTTAACAGAGAAAGTTCTACTTACAAGACTCATCATTTGATGCTAAAAACATTGACACAAACATCCTGGATATTTCCAGTATATTAACAAATTCACAATACTTTTTTTTGGTTTTGTCCAGTGAAAACTGCCAAGAAACTTGCAAATAATGTTATATGTAACTGCGATTCTCTACTTAAATATTCCAAAAACTTGTTTTCAGTTTAGAAGGTCAGGTTTTCTATCTGGTCTTTGGCTCTGCAGGATGAAAAAAGAAAACCTGGGACACTGATACCTTTAAATTTAGGAAATATAGATGATGTAAAATAGATGCATTTCTACTGAACATTTTGGTGTTTGTGAAAAGAATATTTATATGCAAAGAAATTTAGTCAAAAACAGATAGTTTTATTAGCCAAGGCTGAAACAACTGATGTGATTTGAAAATTTGCATCTTGAGTGATCTTGAAATGATAGCACTAAGAATGTAATAACCAAATGCTATGTGCTTATTTTAGATATGGGATTCCTACTTTTTTCTTGCTGTCATTTTTATAAACCAGTTATGTCTGCAACTGGAGATGTTCACACCTTCCAAGAAAAAAAAGGTTTTGGAAAAGTAAGTATTGCTGTCAGCTTCCAGAAGACTCATAGATCAAATGTTTGTCAGAATTCAAGGCAGATTGCTTAAAGGTCTATCAGAAGATCACAGTGGCAATATTTCCTCTAACTTGGCTAAATGTTGGTTCTGGCCCTTTGTATGAGTCTTCAGAGCTGGCAGCACCTTTTGTCAAGTTCAAACTTGTTCAGATATTGGCAATAAAACAGCCATGCTGTAGCAGTGCCAACACTGATTTCCCTTGCATGTATTAGTTAAGTCAGGCCAGTTTGGTTATTTCTACCAGGCACTACATATTCTGTGTGAAATAATTGAATTTAAGCTAAAGGAAATAATCTGTTCTTAGAGAGAAACCTAAAGAAAAAATGCTACAGACCATAATTGTTGCCACATAGTTGTGTTACTGATATGTAATGTTTAGAAAGAGCTAATACTTAAAATATTTGACAATACTGCAAATGCACCTGAGTTTAGAAATTCTTTCTTAGCTGGGCAAAATAGCAAAAACTTGGAACATGAGTTTGGGCATAGCTTTTTATGCATTACAAATAATATGTATGTTTTCATGATGTTGCAGAATCGTACATGGCCTTGATTGTGTTAATGTTAAGCTGTTTTGTTTTATTTTTAAATGTCTTATAGATATGGTGATATGCGGGTAACAATGGGATGTGAAATCTTCAGCATGTGGCAAAATCTAGGTAAGAAATAAAACAATTCACATGGTAGCTCAAAAGTGAAAAAAAAAAGATTATTTCAGCTATTAAATGCACTTGCTAATAACAGAGGAGTTAATGAAGTTCTCATGAAGCCTTGATTCAAGCTTAGGAAAACCCCTACTCATTGCAGTTCTCTCCTTTATGGCTAACCCAAGTTTTCTAAGCCCTGATACTGTATTATTTGACCTATCCATATTTTTTTAAAGAGAACGGAAACAACTCTGCAATACAAAATTAGAGTAGAAAGAATGACTCTTTGGGGGTAGAGTTATTGTGTTGGAGAAGGGGAAAAATACTTACGTTCACAATTCTAAATCTGTTGACAAACAATTTAAGCAGCAGACATATATCTTAGTTCTGAAGCTCTTTTGAGATGCTGGATTTGTATCAAAATCTTCCAGGGAGCCACAGTTGTACTAAAAATATAAGGAGATAAATAAACTGGTGAATGATATATAAATGACTATTTGGACAACAAGAGAAAAAATACATGTCTTGGTCTAAATTTAGGAACATTTTTACATTTATAAACAGAAATTGTGAAAAATGAAAGTATAAACCTCAGGAAAATGCAATTAAATATTGTTTAGGAACAAAATCAAAACTCTGCAGAAGATTTGGACACCATATTTGTCATCTTTATATTTCAACTCATTCAGATTTTATTTCATTAGTTCACGTAATTAAAGGGTTCATCAAAGATATTAAGATTGTCAGCGGTTGCTAAGATACTGTCACCTCAGTTCTATAAATCTTTTTCCCTGATATGTAGTTGTAGAAAAGTGGACTTTCTGATCAGCATGTACTAGAAGGAATCTTCAAAGAAATAAGTATTAATATTAGTATTTGCTTATTGATTTGCTGTTGACCCTTGTTATGTAGCATATACTACTGAGTTACAGTACTTACTATTGATTAGAGACTTTAAGACATCCATACTCTTAAGTTACTTGGATACGAAGAGTTTTTCTGAACTGGCGTATCAGGTATCTACTCCTAAGATCCATCTCTGTCCTACGTGTGAGGAGGAACTTCTATCCTGTGAGGGTGACAGAGCCCTGGAACGGGCTGCCCAGAGGCTGTGGAGTCTCCTTCTCTGGAGATCTCCCAAACCCACCTGGATGCCACCCTGTGCCACATGCTCTAGGTGTCCCTGCTGGAGCAGGGGGGTTGGACTAGATGATCTCTAGAGGTCCCTTCCAACCTCAACCGTTCTGTGATTCTGTGAAGACCGTAGTGTGGATCACCTGCCTAGTCACAGTTTTCTGCTGGAAACTCAGCGTGCCGGGAGGGAGAGAGCCATGAAGAATTTCCATAGTCGTGAAGACTGTGGGGTGCACTGTGACACCGTGGAATTTTTCTCACAATGTCCACCTTGAAATATTGCAGGCAGCTGATCTCCCATGGCAGGTGCTACACTATTCAGCGTTACATCGTGCTCTTAGTTTATTCTTCTCCAGCCTTGGTCCTCGTGCAGCCACCTTGGCTTTGATACAGATATGTATCCCAGGGGAATGGAATTCCACTAGAAGGAATTCCGTTTTTCCTTTGCACTAATGCACACACCAGACAGAGTGGTGGACAAATGTTACTGGCCAGTGCAACATCCAGAGGTAGCCTGGGATGGAAATCAGTTCCCAGCTTGGAAAGTTAGTATATTGGGATTAATAGTCCTCCTGTTCTGAGGATCTCAGTACTTTTAAGCCTGGAGAACTAAGACTGAATGGGCAATCCTTATTTTATGCCATTTCTGCCTTTCCTGACAGGAACTTAGTTTTGTAGCTTCTCCTTTGTAGAATATGGAGAGTTAATGGGAGATGTTTTAGCACTGAAATTTTTTGAGAACACTTAAGTTGTAACTTCTCTATTCAGCAGGCAAAGCCTGTTCTTCCATCTCCATTTCCACGAAGTTACCTTTCTTTATTAAAAAAAAAAAAAAGTGTTATGTCAGGTAGTCAACCGTTTTGTAAACACAAGGCTGCAGAGCATAGAAATTAAACCATTCCTGAGAAAAGTAAGTTAAATGCCAAGGTAGTGCTTTGTTTCTCTTTGTTCCCCTCCTGGAAGACTAATGTGAAATACAAATAACTCTGTCACTCCTGAACTCAGTGTTGCATTATAAAACCTGGTGAATTAGGTTGACCTTATGTTTGCAGGTTGACCTCTTGTCTGCTGCTTTTCACTTCGCTTTTTATGTTAAGAAATAAGCCCTGCTCTGATGGACCCGAGCTAAAAAATGTAGACTTTTACAATATTTTTTTTCTTAGGAAAGTTCTTGGATTGCTTGATAGCACACAGGAGGAATCCCAGGTTATATTCAGGTTGATGTTCTTTTTCACTTTAGGAGAGCACAAGCTTCATTTTATCCCAGCACTGATTGGCCCCTTCCTAGAAGTGACCTTGATCCCTCAGCCAGACCTGCGGAATGTCATGATTCCCATTTTCCATGACATGATGGACTGGGAGCAAAGGCGAAGTGGCAACTTTAAGCAGGTATGTGAAGCTCTTCACAAAACAGGGCTGAAATTCACATAGTTTGGAGTGCTGGTCCCAACTAGTAGTGTGGAAAGAGCAGATGTGATTTTACACCTGTGGGAGAGGAATTACCAGGGTTTTCCCTTTTGACTGTCTACAGGGGTAATAAGATTTTCCAGTGTAATATTTTGATTCGAGTAATATAAAATTAGGGAACAATCCATGGCCCATTCAAGTCAAGAACAAAACTTGAGGTATCTTCAACAAGGCTGTTTTCTTTGTGGCATTTTTATTCTCTCATTTACAGCAGTAGAGACTAATGTTTAGACAGGGATTCAGATAGCTTCCCTTCTAGTTAGTATGGAGAGGAAAAAAATAAAAATCAAAAGATCGTTCAGAAGAATGTTCTTCTGAAAGGATCTGACTATTCTTGCTGCTGAAACACCTTCTTAACAAGCTAGGAAGGAACTACCAAATGTGCCATCTGCTTCTGCAGCTCCTACTTGGTTCTTCCAGACTGCCTCAAGCCTTTTCTCAGTACCCTCCTTCCTGCTGCTTCAAATGAAGGAAAGCAGAAGGATTTGAATTAGTCTCAGGCAATCATAACACTTGGAGTGAGAGCTGTATCTGAAACACAAAACAAAGTATAGGAATGGAGGAATGTATGTGATGTAAATAGGTGCTTTTTCACTATCAATATATTAGCTTATTTTTAAAATCACCATAGGGATGTTAAGGAGGGAGAAAAAAAGAATCTACTTGTTTTGCTTCTCTGTCTGTTAAGCTTAGATTTAAATGTAAATTATAATGGATTTATTCACTAAGAGAATATATTGACGACAATTTGATTTCTGCCCTAGATGTTTTATTACTAATACAATATTGGTAAAAAGGAGGTTTGAAGTAGTAACATGCAGGGTAGCCTCATCTGTATGTGTTTATTTTATCAAAAATACAATTAAAAATATGCATCAAAGTAGTCACTAGCCATCAGATGTGTTCTGTAAGTTTCTTTCATAGCTAGCATGTAAATCCAGTGAAATTAATTTCAAGTACATGGGCTGGTAAGGAAGGTCAGGAAAGTAAATCTGAAACCCCAAATGTTCTGGAGAATAAAGACCTTTTTACATTTAATCTACAAATTTAAAGTGTGAGGTGTATGGGATATTTATTGAAATCTAAGAAAATGCCTTGTGCTTACAGCCCTGCAGTGAGAATTCAGGCAATTTATTTGGTCTGTGTGCTTTTTTGTCTGACTCCATAAATAGATAGCTGCCTTAGCAGCAGCAAATGCTACTCAGCCTGTAGTTTTATAGTCACGTTGCTCCTTTCAAATTAGCTCCCCCCACAATCTCCTTGGGTTTGATAACAGTTTCAAAGAGATCAAGTGACCTATCATCAAATTTACGTGACTGGCCAGAAATTTTAAGAACTGCTCTCAACAAAATCTCCTGCAGAAAAAAATTAAATCCTTCCTCAATTTTATCCAATCTAATTAAAGAAAAGAGAAGCTGTCTACTTATACACGTATATGTTGCAGGTGGAAGCAAAACTGATTGACAAACTGGACAGCCTAATGTCAGAAGGTAAAGGTGATGAAACGTACAGAGAGCTCTTCAACAGTATGTGAGTAATATGTTTATTTTTCCTTAAATCGTTGGATTCAGTTAGGGGTGTTAGATGCTGATGTCGATGTAGAGAGGTAATGCTTAAAACAATTGTGAATCTTTTTTTGTCTTTTTTTTTTTCTGAAAATCCGAGGAATATTAATATTGTAAGGTTCTGTACCTGTAAGTTCTGAGTGTGATTCTTAGATCTAGTTATAACAGGGAAATGCTATATATATCACAAAAATACCGCTTTTTCCACCTACTAATTTTAAAATCAGAAAGATGTTTCATAGTTGCACAGGGTGCAGACAGAGCACAAATCTGATATTTTAAGAATATGGCATGAGAATATACCAAACAGCTATTTAGTAAGAGATTTTACATTGTCAACAGAAATTTACCTCCTCTGTGTGAGGTCACTTGTTGATATCTTGATGGATATATGCAATTTTATTTATTCTGGTGAGATTATTTCTTATTATTTTATTTTATAAATTATTAAGCATATACTGTATTTTAATAAATGAAATCTTATTGAAAGCAAATAGCCAAAGCCAGCAATAGTGAAGTGCCTAAGGTTGCCCATAATTGATGCCACTGATCAAAGTAAATGACTGTCACAGAGTGCAGATCCAGTATAACTACTGACCTCCGTCTCCTTTGTTGTTACTCTGAGTTTAATTCCAGCTATGTGGAAGATATAATTTGTCTCTAGTGCATATAACAAGAGGTGTATTACTCCTCCTCAGGGTTCCAGCCCTATGTATTATTTAATATTACTAAACACTTGATTTTTTTTCCTGCTTATATGGCTTCTTAACCATTCCCTCTTATTTAAAGACTGTGTTGTAGCTCTGTGCTTAAATAACTGCATTCAGATCACAGTGTCTGCGAATGACAAATGCAAAATAATCAGTAGATGTATTGAGTGGAGAAAAAAAAAGAGAATTTCTAAACATTTATCACTTATGGAAACAAAAGTGGTTAGAAATTTTCAAAATTATAGTATTCTATCTTCAAAATTAAATCATTAAGGCAGAAGTTATAATTGTAAAATTATGAAATCTAGATGCATTGCCATGTGCAAAAAAAGAAAAATAAAAAACAGATTACAATGGCAATCACTGTTTGAAATAACTTGTAATTTTATAAGAAAGCATATTGGGGTGAAACATGGTTCTCATTTTTTTAGAAAGTTTTTGAATTAGATTTAAGAGGCTGAAGATATCTCCTTGTAATTTTAATTGCAAAGTACCTCAGCGTCAGTGTACTTTTTGTTTCAGTTCTGATGTACCTGAAGTTGTAACAAAACTCTTTGGCAAATTTCAGAATAACTGCTCAGTATGCTTCCAGCTCAGGAAGAATTCGTACTTATCATTAGTTTTTAATCTAACTCTGGTTTCACTCAATATGTAACAAATCCCAGCCTGAGAGCCTGGGAAGACACTAATGTAAAATGGAGGGCTACAGAGTGTCACAGGGTGGGTGAAGAGAAATGCTTAAAAACAGGGTGGGCAGTCTGGGGAGCTGAATTCGTGGGGTCGGTGCCTCGGCACGGTGTGCAGGCCCAGCAGGGCTGTGTGGGCTGCGGTGCTGCCGGCGCGTGTCCGTGCGGGGGGCAGCAGGACCGTGGCGCCGAGGCCGGCGCGGTGGGCAGCAGTGTGAGCCTGGCACCCGCTGCCGCAGGGCTGCGCCCGGGGGCACGGCCGGGAGCTGAGCGGTGCGCACACCTGCACGGGGTACACGGGCTGTGGGACTTTCTGTAATACTTGGTCTTTCTTTATTAGGAGTCTTTTCCTAGAGTAACTCACTACCTTTGAACATCATCTCTTTGCGGGGATAGATTACAGGTGTCTCTGGACTTAGCTAAACTGGTATGTGCTTAGAAGGCACTGCTTCTGAGGAAATTGGCCTTACCAGATGAACGGGTCAGGGGGAGAAAGGGAGGGCTGGCGGCTGCTGCTCCTGAGTCAGTGTCTTCCCGGGAGACCTGAGCGTGACCACCAGCCCTTAGCTCGTGAGGCCAATGAAGAGCTACTTGTAATTGCTTCCTGATGTGATCCTGGTGTGAAAGATGTCCTGGCTTATACTTACATTATACCCCTGAGACTGAATTTCTGAGTTAATTAGCACGAGGAAAAGAGTGCTTTTATTCTATTAAACAGTTGGTGGATAGAGCAAAATCTTTGAAATGAAGACACAGATGGTTGCTGGCAGTTTTTTTACTTCCGTAGCCGTGTTTGAGTTTGGCATAAGACAAGTCATTTCAGGTTTGGAGGGCAGGTGGCCACATTACTGCAGCACCAAACCTGGCCTGGAAGCCTGCTGGCTGCTCTTTTAGGAGCAAGGCTTCTCTTTAGGAAACTGGAGCTGACATTCAAGGTGAGCAGGTGCTTAACAACTGGCTCTACCTTGATTGAGTTCTACAGCCATAAGAATGGCGACAGGTATCTCTCCCTTGCTTTCTTCAGCCTTTTTCTTTTTTTTTTTTTTTTTTTTTTTTTTTTGATTCCTTCCCCGAGCTGCCTGGCTGTTAGAGGTGCTGTCTGGGCTGAGTCTTTCAGAGCCCTTCTGAAAATTTGTGTGGGTTTTGGGTAGCTCCTCACTCATCTCTGAATTGCAGCGTGATTTTGACTTTCCCTTATCTGCTCAGATGAGGGAGCCTCTGGCACTGGTGAGCTATCTGAAGGACTTTGTACTCCAGAAGGGAATCTAGGTAGATCCCCCCTAGGGATAAGTGCTTGTGAGTCAGTGGTCTGAATAACTCTGTGACTTGGGGATGTCCATTCATGTTGGACTTACTACACAGTTTAGCTGCCTGGGTATGGTGCTGAGCCTGGCAGAAGCTCTTTCCAAGACAAATCCGATTCTCTTGGTCCTCAGTCTCTTATTCTTAAGAACCCAAAATTAAAAAAGGAAGAAAAAACGTTGAGGTCAGCCCAGCTGTTGGGCACTTTCATTAGTGCATTTTGCTCCGTGTCATTTATCCTGCTTAGTCCTTTGTCTGACACGGTATCTTGGCTGAGCTTTGGGACTTGGGACGAGCAGGAGTCGTGTGATGGGAGCAGGCACAGCATGGACAAGGAGGAAGTGCGTCTGTGTTCATGTGTGCTTTGGGGAAGCTGCTGTGTTTGGAAAGTAAATAGATGTAGGAAAAGGGATCCCACAGGGGTATAAAACAAAGTATGTGCACAAATTCACGCAGAGTGTGATGGAGAGGAAGAAAGCTTAGCTTTAATGCCAGTCATTTCTTTCCAATTCTGTCTACATATTGCCCTGAGGAAGCCAGGGAATATATATCTGTGTAGCCCTTTTGCTCTGAGTGTTGCTCTATGCTCTGGTGCCTGACAGAGAGGGGGATGCAGGTGTCAGAAAGCAGGTTATAAAATTGTCCAACTGAAGAAATGGATGTCAGTTTAAATAAGTACTTCTACACCACCCATTTGTAGAAATTATGCTTATAATGAATATGATCATGTATTTCAAAAAGAATCTGTATAACTCAAGCACAGATGAAACCCATCTGTTTTAAGAGAGAAGTCAAACTTGTGCCACTTTTCTGTGGGAACGGTAGGTAATTATTTTGATGACTTCAGTTTGAAATACCCCTGTGTAACACGGGCTTGAAAAGCATTAGAAAGGAAAAAGCAGTGCAGTAATCAGTGCTTAATAATGTAACAGTCGCAGCCCTTTGTTAGATCCAAAAACTTGCTTTGAAAGGAACGTCAGCAGGTTAAAAGCAAATTAAGTGAGTCTGTGCATTCTGTATGGTAAGCAGAGATGCTAGATTAATGTTTCAGCCTCAGGTGAGGATGGGGTCCTTATCTGGCTCTCCTAGCAATGACAGGAACTCCATCCTTGAAAATGAGGGATACACACCTGGATACACCTGAAATGGAGAAGCGAGCCCAAGATCTCTGTGATGAAAATATAGAATGAAGATCAGTCAGTGGTTCCCCCCTGCTTCCAGCTTCATGTGGGTCCAACAGGTTGAGAGAGTTGCACAACACCTGCTGTATGGAGCCAAGCAGGGCTGGAGCTTTATGGAGGAGTTTTATGGGACTGAACGTGCTCAGGACAGAGGAAGGTCGTGGAGCTGATAGCTTGCCCATTGAAGGCAGAAGGTTTATTAACAAATCTCTCAAAGCTCTGCTAAACGTAAGGATATGGCAATTTTCAGAGACTAAGTAAATCATACCTGAATGGATTTTCAGGGGAGCTGCCAAAATAACTCCAGGGGCCTGTCATACATCTGAGGTCCTGCGTCAAGGCATAAAAGTAACATGTTTCCACATGCATTTTCTGGCAGAGAAGGAATGTGAGAAACATGACCCCAAATGAATAATATTTGCTAAACATAAGCATAAAGGATGAAAATCCTTTAATGGAAAGAGATTACCTATAATTTTACTGCCAGCACCATTCACAATACCATTTTAAAATTTATTTTCACTTCAGCTGGTAACCTGAATTTACATTAGTTGTACAGCTAATAGAATTTACCACGTATGATAGTATGCTCTGTGAAGGAAATACTAACTGAAAGTTTGGGAGGAGTTATCTTCTTAATCATTTTGCCATTAAATTTCATGGGTGCTGAAATAGTAGAGCTAAGATGGTTAAAAAGCTTGAGGTCCCATTGAGAAGGTATTTTGAATTGATAAAAATTATTTTCTAGGTACATCTACCAACTCCCTCTTTTCTAAGGTACCACCATGAAATTAATAGATAAATTTTAATAAAGGGCTCTGTTACGTCTTTGGAATATTTTGAAAAATGGGTGTTTGATATATATTAACCTGATACGGCTAACATAAAAATAATCTGTTTTGTCAATGCTTCCTGGACTAGAATTCCACTTTTTGGTCCTTATCCTAGGTAAGACATCATTTGCAAATTATGCTTCTTGGGAGGGTGTTTGTAAAGGAAAATCTGTTGAAGGTAACTGTTGCTAAGGTATTAAGGTACTGGTGAAAGTGGAGTGGTTGTCATAGTGACAGTTAAAAATAAATGTGAAATTATTCTGTTTTTTTCTTTTTCTCCAGTCTACTGAAGAAAATTGAGCGGGAAACATGGAGAGAAAGTGGCGTTTCATTGATCGCCACTGTGACTCGCCTGATGGAAAGGTTACTGGACTACAGGTGAGTGTCACACACCTGGTAAGCAGGGTTGTGATCTTTGAAATATTAGGAGAAAAACCTGCTGATCTTATGCGAATGGCAACTGCACATGGGCAGATCAGCTGTACGTGCTCAGGATCTCTGACCACAGCTGCTTAGTTGGCAGGAAGGTGGGCAACCTGGAGGAAAACAATTGTATGAATATTCAGTGGCTTGGTTTCCTACCAGGAGTATAGGAATTTTAAACAGTAGGTTGGTGATTCCAATCTCTCTGAAGTCACAGTGCTCGATATTAATCACCTAACAGTTGTCTTACAGAATAAGTAAAATTCTTATTGCTGTGTCAATCATGCTTAGTACGAGTGTCATCCTACAGACTAGGTTATGTACACCGAGATATGACACCTGGGTAGGAGCTGGCATCTGACTGTAACACACAAACAAAGAAGAGGGAAAGAAGAGACCTACCTGGTTTTTCTGAATGGGAGATTTTTCTTCCTTATTTGTAAAGTCTGTGTGGAACCTTCAGTGTATCCTTGTTGTTGCAGCCAGTGGTGGCACTTTCTAGAGCTCGAGGGTTATTTCTTCCCTCATCCTGTGGGGATACATGGTAAAACCTGGTACTACAATTGATATCTTTGCTATTAGTTTGAGAGGGGAGCTGTTTTGTTTACAGAGAGACTGAGCTCTTAACTTCTGGACGCCTTGCAGTGCTGCTACCCTTGGAAGATCACTGGGATTGCAACCTTCAGGGCTGTCAATCCAATGTTTTTCACACACGCAAAAAGAAGTGTTTATAGCATCTAGTTGCTACAAAAGTGTTTGAGACAAACTAGGTTGTTTGTTTCATATATTCAAGAATCTTTAAGTTGTTTCAGTTAGCTTGCTGAGCTAAGTATGTCTGTTTTTTGTGGTGTTCTTCATGTTAAGGGAATAAACTTTATGCTTTTCTTTATGGAGCTTTTGACTCTCACTGCTTTCTGTTTTAGGGACTGCATGAAAATGGGAGAAGTGGATGGTAAAAAGATTGGCTGCACCGTTAGCCTTTTGGTTTGTATAATACTTTTTCTTCCTCTTTTTGATGCTACTTGAGGATTCTCTAGTTTACCACTGTCTATTGGGATGAGAACCTGCTTCTCAACAGAATGTGAGTGGAAGCTGATAGAATAGTGCTGCAGCTAGCATCTTTGATAGCTTTTTAAGGAAGGATTTGATGCACTTGAGAGGTAGTGTCTCCTGGCAATTTATACTTGGGCTCTGAGAAATCTCTAAAATCCTTTTATCCAATTTGCCTCTCTTCTTACCAGGTAAATTTTACCAAAGTTTCTTCTAAACTTGATCAGTCTCTGAGTTCATTAAACAAATATTTTCCCTTTCTGAAGACACCACAAAACATGCACAGTTTCTCTGTTTTCCTGGCATCTTCAATAATTAGCTATGGTCAGCTCTTACAATGTGCATGTACCTTCTGAAAACTGTAGGCTATCTATTCTATACCTGATATAAGAGCCAGAAAAGCTATTGAGGAGCTCCTCCTATAATACTAGCACCATTATAGCCATGTGTGCAAAAAGTTATTTTTGTTTAGAAGATGTAATTTGGTTCTAGCCCAATTTCCACTGACAAGCTTGTTGATTTTCATTAACCTTGAAAAGTTTCAATTTTTAGGATGATGATTTTTAGAAAGCTGTATTTTTAGCCCTGAGGAAAATCAAAATAAGCTGACTTTTAATTCTGCCTTTTTTTTCTTCTTTTTTTTTAATGTCAGTGGAACAATTTGGTATCATTTCTAAGTAGCAGTTATATATAACAAAATCAAAGATCTCTTCATTCAGAAAGGAGTGCTCTTGAAATAGGAATAGTATTAGCCATACCACATAGCCATATAGTTGTAGGCTTTCTGTCTGTAGCAGCAGTGACTTAGATGAAGGTGGAAAGTAAGATAATCCTACTTTCTCACCCTCAGGATCACTTGGGGTTGGTTTCATATCAGTAATGCTTCTGTGGAAAAGCTGGCGTAGAGGTGTCTAATGGAATCAGTTCCTTATGCATAAGAATCACCTAACTGCATTTCTAATGAAAGAACTCTTGTCATCACAGAACTATACCAAAACATTAAAAAGTATTTTGAGTAAGTTTTAGAAATTCATCTAGGAGTTTCTATCAGGCTTTCTTGGTCCTCATTGTTGCTTGACATTTAATTGGTATTTCACTTCTATTACCATAAAATCATATAAATCTGTGGAGATTTTTCTCTGGTGCTTTGCACTCTTGTATGACATGATGACAATTAGGTAAAATGTTTTCATTGCCTGCTTGAATATTGGCTCTCAGGCTGTGTGTTTCCTTAGGAAAAACTCCCCATTCATAAAAGTCAACTCTTCAAGTGACCCGGCCTTCTGGAGAGTTTGTTCTTTGTGTTAGCAGTTATGCTTTATGTCTTGAAATAGCTTGTTGAAAAAACACATGACACCTTAGCGCTCTGTTAACACGGTGAGCTCCTGGGCTGTGCCTGGATGGCCTTGCTGTGCTCTGCCCTGCAGACCAGTTGGGCTTCGTCAGAACTGAGCTTCAAAGAAGAACCAGCTGGGCTGTCTGGCTTAGCCTTGGGCAGGGCCAGAGGGAATAGCCGTGAAGCCTCCTTTAGTGCTGCATTTGCCTGTGTCTTTAAGCCTGATTTCCTAGACTTCTGCATTGCAGATTATGCTATTTTCGGACAGGTAAAAATGAACATATATGCAGATATCCTTTCATTTTCTTCTCTAAATAGAAGCAGCAGTTCCTCGTGTATGCACTGTGGGAGGAAAACAGAAATTCTTGGATTACAAAGGCATATGGTGGCCTAAAGGGGCCACCATACAGAGCTGTTACAGAGCTATTGATATAGTCGTTTAAGTCAATTATAAAAATACTGTTTCTGGTAAGGTGTAACGTTTCTAATTTTATGTTTTTATTATGATGCTTTCATAATGCTTCTCTCAGTCTTCTTCCTGTTGATAACTCACGATTTAGGAAACAGTGGCAGGGATTAAGAATGCTTTCTGAAAGAGGAAACGTTCTGGCTATTTGCCTGAAGACCTAGATATTAAATGACCTGTATTATACAACATAAACAAGTTGTTAATTGCTAAGGAAGAACAGTGCTTGTGTTTCCTGTACATTTCTATGACCCAAAGCAGGGTATCTCTGAAAGATAGCATTGCCAGCTGGAGGACTAGCTGTATGGCCATCCTGAGCATGACAACATTTGACAGCACTACAGAGTTCTATTCCTCTGCCTGTAACTTCTTCATACTTCAGCTTAAGGCCTGCAAATACATAGTGAATGTTTGGAACGAAAAGTGTTAATGTTGCATCCAGTTTTTAATTAATACAAAGACCATTAGCAGTTACACATCCAGAAATCTTTAACCCCTTTTAGAAATTTTGTTCTGTAGCCTTGGATATGATTTTAGAATGCAAATTATATATATCTCAGTCATGGCATGCAAAATTTATGCATCAATTACTACTTTTATGAGAATCAATTAGGGCTGAAGAAATCATATCTTTCATTCAGAAATCATTCAGATTTATGCTGTTTGCGATGCTGAATAGTTCTTTGTAATGCTGCCAAAGTCCTTCTGGTGTTTTGCTATGACAGAAGAAAGAATAAGCATACCATTCAGTAGACATTTTGTTAAAACATGAACTCAAAAGTCAGATTTTAAGACAATACAGAAGATGTCAATTGGCCTCAGTAAGGCCAGGGAGCATAATTTTTGGATGGCGAAGGAGATACAAAAAAAGACCGGCCTGGTTTTAGTTCTGTCAGGTTCTCCCACTTACATCCTATAGAAAATTAAAAAAAAAAAAAAAAAAAAAAGGAAAGACAAGAACATTCAGGAGAGCACGTTGCCTGGTCTACAGAAAATTGAATGTGGCTATCATTGAAATTCCTTGGAATGCCTTGGTACATGTGAAGCTTTCAAATACATATATGTATTTTTACAATGGTATATTTAATGTATTGTATAATCGTTATCATAAATTGCCTACATTTTATTACTAAATTCAATTTTATTGCAGAACTTTTACAAGACTGAACTGAACAAAGAAGAGATGTATATTCGCTATATTCATAAGCTCTATGACCTGCATTTGAAAGCACAAAACTTTACAGGTAATTGAATGCAATTTATTAAAAGTATATAGAACTATACCGTAATTTATATTCTTTCGCAAAACTGTAACTCTGAGGAGGACATCCAGGCTGAGGCAACAGCTGAATCTCCTTGCTCAGCTTCTCACTCACACTCACTCTCTCCCACTCACCCACCCATCTTCATTTCAGCCCCACTTCTCTACTGCTTGCTCGACCATGCTGAATGTAAATGACTACTACTGCTATAGGCTGGCAATAAGGCTGGCATATGGTCACTCAGGAAGAATGAAGTTTAAAGGAAGCTCTTAAGTCAGCTCGGGAGTGTCTGAGCCCACATACCTTTTTGCAGTGCTGACGGTTAACTGCTTGGTGCGCTTCCTCTCCATAGCTGTTTCAGAACCTAAACTTTTATGTTTAAATAAAAAGAAAAGAAAGATCCTTATTATGATGAGACACAGACCCTGAAAGTCTTAACCAATATAGCACTTTGATGTCTTTTTGAATCATGGCATACCACATTTGCAGTCAAACAGTACTTCACCGTTATCTAGTACTACTTGGTGCATTATTGCTTAAAGAAGCAAAAAGATGCTAATGTGCATGTCTTTTGTTCATCCAGCATGGGGTGAGCTTCTTTTGGGTAACTGCATGCTATCGAGAATTGCTAAAGTGTATAAAAGTCACTGTCTGTTTAAATTAAACAAATTGTGGTTGCGAAAATGTTTAACTTACCTTGTAATACCTCCATCCTTTCCCCTGTGAGTACAAAAGCAACTGCATGTGTTCAGAATCCCTTCAACATACCTTCCTTCTTGGAAGTGGATCTGTTAACTAGTGCACAGTAGTAGCTAGGCTTATGGTAGATAATGCCCACAAGGAATTTCTTTATACCCTGCTTTTTCTAAAGTGCAACAGAAAAATCCTGTGCTTGAAATTCCCACATTTCTCTTTGCTGTCCATGGATGTCGACTCTAAACTAGAGAAATCCAGAGAAAGGATTTTCATTTCCTCATATGATCTGTCTTTAGTGAATCACACGGGTTTTAGTATCAGTATCTGTCACAGCTGGTTTTTGTGATAGAAATGGTAAACTTTCCTGATTTTATTTAATAGTTCTTTCTAACTTTCTGAGCGATGCTGAGCTCTCTTTCCACACTGGCTGCTAATATGACTTAGTTTATCTTTCAGCATTGATGAGAACCTTAGTTTTAAATCTTCTATTACTATTCATTCTGATTTTAAACACTTGCTCAAAATGTTATCTCCAGGGTATTGTTTCCCAAGTATTTATTAGTAACATGTGTGATTTTTCCATTCTTTGCCATGACAGATCCTATGACTTACATTTTTTTGCCATGAGAGCCTTAAAGACAGATTGGCCCCCACCCATGGCAAAAGAATAGAGACAGCCTTTCTGCTAGAAAACAGATTCATATACTCGCTTCTCTTGCCTTATCAATATTACTGTTTTGTCAGTGATAACAGAACAAACTTTCAGAAAATTGACCAATATCAAGTAACTGGGGATAGGAAAAAAAATTGTTATCTTACCAGTATTCCAGCTTCCCATCTTTCTTCACCCAGCACTCAGTTACAGCTATGAATTTTACCTCCTTTGAGGATGAAACATAGTACTTATATACTAGTTCCCTGTGCATGTTCTCAGTTAACCTGCAGGTTGCAAGGAGAATATTTCTGTTACACAATCTTGGGAGTGCCTGTTTTTTTGAATCTTTCTATATAAATTGAATTTCCCACATCACATGACAACTTTATTTCTCTCCTAATGTTCTTTTGATGCATAACCAATAGTTGCCTCTCCTAGCCCTGTCATTATGTTATTTATTACATTGGCTACTGCTGGGCAGAGAGATCTTTTGTCCGCTCTGCCGTTCTTGTTTTATATACATTTCATATACTTTTATGACAACCTTAAATATAAGAAATAACAAAGAAAATGACAGGAAAATCTGCTAGATGTACAGACTTGAATGATTTAACTCAATGAAAGAAATACCGATGTGCAAACATGCAGATTTTGAATCTAAAATTGTAGCTTGAAGCGATGACATTATCCAGTCAGAGTCTGAAAATTATGTGATGCTAACCTTCAGATTATCTGCACAACTTCAACTTCTCCCCTTTGCACGTGTATATCATAGTGCAGGGTTTCATTATGTGAGCTGATTGTGTTTTTTCTCATTTGGCCCTCGGATAGTGCTGTGCTCACCAGCTGAGCAGTCATTCTGGGTATTTCTCCTTTATATCATGTAGTCCCTTGTCTTTATGTCTCCCATGAGTCTAACCCTTCTGATTGAGAGTTGCATAATATTCATCTTCGTGTCTCCACCAAAGGCATGCAGAGATTTGATTTGAAGTATTTTTTTGAAATAACTTTATTTGCTGTGAGCTCATTTTGCACCCTGCTTAGCATTTTATAGCATTCTGTGTTCAGAGCACATTCTCCACAAACTTCGGCTGAAGCAGTAATTTTTCATCCACAGGTTTTTAAACTGGACACATAAAAAGTGTCTTTTACACTTGACAGTTTGAAAAACCTCTGTACTCTGGTTTAACGCAACGGACTTAGAGGAACTCACATGGCAGAGTGAGGAGCAGAATATTGTTATCTAGGGGAAAATTCAGCATGAAAGCTCCATTACAACATTATACTTCTGCTTTATGTGCAACCTCCAAAGCCTTCAATAAAATAAGCCGAGTAGGCAACTTCTTCCAACACAACACATCTCCAGAGCATGGCCCATCCTTAGCACTGAATCATGCAGAGTGTCCTGTGAGCAGAGAAACAGTCTGTGGTCACTAACTTGCAAGACCATAAAATGCAGCCGCGCCGTGAGCCAGCTTGAGCTGTCACAACTGGTATTAATTCTGGTATTCCTTCACTGGCCGATGATTGACTTTACAGCTGAGAAGTTCCTCTAATGTTAGTTTTATTGTACAATTTTGGAGGAATTTTTAAATTAAGTTAAAAAAAATATGTAACTGGATAATTCTTACCAAATGTGATCTAAGGATTACTGCAGTGTTCTCTTACTGGTCAGCCGCGGTAGGTTTGATTCCTTGTGTACTTGTCAGTTATTTTCTATAGTAGAAGAATGTGAGGGCTCAGTTGTAAGGGATTTGTTTCACTGCTGGAAAGAGT